GCTTTCCCTGCCAGCATCTTGCACCCTGCTGTTATGTGCTGGACTGTCTCAGGGGCCTCCTTGCACAACCTACACCTTGGGTCTTGTCTGGTGTGGTATACCTGAGCCTCTATTGCTCTGGTGTTTAGGGCCTGTTCCTGTGCAGCTAGGATAAGTGCCTCTGTDCTGTCCTTGAGTCCAGCTTTTTCCAGCCATTKGTAGGATTTCCTGATATCAGCCACTTCAGTTATTTGTCGGTGGTACATCCCATGTAGGGGCTTGTCCTCCCATGATGGCACCATGATGGTGTATATATAATACATATATATATAATACATATATATACGTATATATGGTTGGTTGGTTGGTTAGTTTCTTGGTTTGTTGGTTTGTTTGTTTGTTGGTTTGTTTTGTTTTGTTTTGTTTTGTTTTGTTTTGTTTTTAATAGAAAGGTTCCATCACACCAGTGAAGTACTGTCAAATATATAGAAGAAGTAAGACTGGTTTATATTTTTACTCTTCCAAAATGTGGCAACAAAACAACGTGTCTTGAAGGATTGCAAACAAGAATATAAACTGACACGATAAAACAAAACTGAACTTTAAAAAGGGCAGCAAAACATTCACATCAGCTGTAGCATGAAAACCAAAAACACTTGATAAGTGAGTAAAATAAAATCTGTTATAATATATAATAAATACGTGGGTCTGGTGAGGAAATGGAGACACCTGGGAGCAGGTGAGAGTGGGCGGAGCTCGAGTGGAGGAATAAAACTCACTGACTATGGAAAAATGATCAAGGGCACCAATCACTACAAAAAGACTGAAAAATGGAAAAAATGATGAACAAACTGATCATACAGAGAAACTAACACGCGTTAAAGCCAAACATAACTTCCCCAGGAAAAAATATATATACATTCAATAGGGGTTTACCAAAAAAAATCAATTCACATCAGGATCGTTATTCTCCTTTACAAAGATTCAGAACCAAATTAAAATGTCCCAAAATTGATTTTAAAACAAAGCTAATCCAATGGCTGTCATTTTGTAATTATGGGATGATGTCACCACGCAGCTGGTTCTGGAACGTATGCATGCGCAGAAAGCACCAAAACAAAGACGAAAGAGAGATTCAACAAGGCCCTGTCTTCACTGAAGACAAAGATTTGAGCTCATTTCACTGACCGAGTCTGAGTTTGACACGAGCTTCACTGTGTGTAAGGTTTGCAAAATGAAGATGAAACATTTTGGGGGCACAACAAAAGGGCTCACTTTATCAGTTTTGAATGAAAATTTGATTTTGAATCGAATCGTGGCCCCAAAAATCCTAATTGTGAGATAGTAAGACCCCCACCCCTAACGTACTAGTTAAATAAAGCTGCATAAATCCGTGTTAATCTATCACTTACACCATTCTAAACCATTCTAAAACACATCTAACAAACATTAAATAAACAGATGATTGTGTGTTGTTTTGTCCTAATGACAGATATAAGACAGTAGCACAGATTCAACAGCAACAAGCAGAAAAGCATGAGGTATCCACACTTGTCAGTACAGCTTACTGTAGTATATGCAAGGGCTTTTGGAGATCAGAAGGTGTTGAAAAGAGTCTTTGTACTCACTAGCACTGAATAAAATCTGTAATCCATTAAAACTGACGACGGCACTCCTTAAAATGTATCCTGTAAAACAGACGGGGAAGCCAAGAACGAAGCTCAAAGAAGAAAGTTCTCATCTCCAATCAATCCGTCCTTATATTCCCAAAGCTTATTCAGCTTTAAAAATAATATTTCTGTTTCACTCCTCTCAAATATAACTCCATAAACTCACTGTATGAGCAGCATGTTCAACAGCTTAATTCACCTCAAGACCACCCCCCTCCTCCATGCCCACCTTAAACAACATTTCAGCCGCCAGCAAAAACACCATGCATGAAGTTGGACACGTTAGTTTCATTTTGTCACACTTTAACACGTGCCGCACGCGCACCTCACACACTGTCGCTTCACAGACATCACAACAATGACATTAACAAGCTGCTGACCTGCTTTTTGTGTGTGTGGTTCTGCTCGGACTGAAGGAGGGCGAGGTGAGGCGAGGAGGGGAGCCAGCAGGGGAGAGAGGGGCAGAGGTCTGATGGAGGGGGAGATAGGGTTAAGTGTGTTTCTGGACTGAGGTGGGGGGGGGGGGGGGGGTGTGAAAAAACAAAATACCAGTTCATGACAGTTTGTGTGTTAATGGGAGAAAAAACACTGAATTATGTTTGCTCAACATGTTGAGTTCAGGTTTTCTGACCTGTATTTTTGTAAATGCATTTATTAACAATGCAATTACTAATTGAGTTACTAATAAATGCTATTAGCAGAGATTTATACAAACTAAGTACATTTATTTCTCAAATGTTTTGGGTCTGGGGATCCTTTAAAAAGGTGACAATTTTTCAGGCACCCCCTGATAAACCTCATGCTGATTAAAAAAATATTTACTGCTACAATTTACAATGCTCAAAAATTAACAATAAACAAAATCAACAACTTACTGCAATTTTTTAGGACCCCCAAGCTACACCTCATGCACCCCTGGGGGTCCGGGGACTCCAGTTTGAGAACCTCTGCGTTACAGTACTTAAGTATTTTTTGAGGATTTACAATTTTACTATTATTACTATATATATA